TAGATCTATATCTCCTGGTCCCTAGATTTATATCTCCTGGTCCCTAGATCTATATCTCCTGGTCCCTAGATCTATATATCTCCTGGTGTGTATGTAGATCTCCAGATCTGACAGGTTTACGGAAACCTAAATCCTTCTCTAGGTTCTGTAATGAGCACACAGGAATTTAAAGAATAATTTCCAACGGTTCTCCAGTAGTATAAAGTGCTCAGGGTCTCCGCTGGAAGAATTAAAAATTGAATTATCACCGGAGCTTCAAGACTCAACTACTTATTACGAGGAAAAGAATTCCTCCTCTCCCCCCACCTTAACTAACTCTCCATATATGCCTCGAATGGGTTATATTAGAGTATCACCCAGGGCATTTTAAGGTCATTGCTTCAAGCCTTTTCAAGCCTAGGGCTGGGATACACTACTTCTGCTTGGATATTTTACTTTTATAGCTGGGATATCTGCCTATTTGTATAATATGGTAGATTTTCTTGGATAGTCGTTTTTTACGCGAATTTTCTCTTTTTCATTAATCTACTTCTTGACAGTTTATCAAATTCCTACTTGATAGAGAGAATTGGGTTAAAATAGAGTTTGTTTATATTCAAGATTTTAAGATATCTAAACATAAAGACAGCAAACTCGTCCAGTTTTATTTTAAATCAAGTTTTTATCAGAATACATGAATTTGATTAACAATATTCATAAATGTTCATGTTGTCTTGTTATCTCCCTGCTTTAAGCACCATAATCAATGTTCAATGTGGCACTAAAAATGTTGCTCGTACAACGAATTTATAAGTTTCTAACCCCGTCCTGACCCCCATTTATCATCTGTAAACTCGGCTTTATCTATTTAGAACAAAGGTTATGTAACACTAAAACATTAAACATTGAAATACACCACAGAGAAAAAATCCTCCATGTTGAATTTTGAAATCCACCATATTGAATTATGATCCACCGTTCATATTGAAATAAAATCCACCATATTAAATTAAAATCACCCATATTAAAACAAAATCCCCCATATTAAGTTAAAATCCACCATATTGAATAAAAATACATTATGTATTCAATTGAAATTTACCGATTAAATTGAAATTTATCAAAATAACTTAAATCACCATATTGAAAAAATAAAAAATCAGCAATATTGTATTGAAAAATCCGCAAATTCAGCTGAAACAAAATGGATGATAGAGCAACGAATCATTTGAGTGCGATACCCATTAGAGTTGACAAATGGCGTGTTTAAGCAAAATTAGATTCCTGTAAATCTAAATGTCACCTATTCTTGTTTCAACATTAATTATTGTAATGCATAGAATTAATTAAATGTAACCTAAAGAATTTAGATAATTACACGCATTAAAACTGGTCCCATTTTAATTACTAAATGTCCCAAAAAAATGATAGGAATTATTTTGAAACACCCAACATGGTCGAGATTGTGAGAGTTCGCTTATTCAGAATCCATCAGAACAGACGAATAATTAGTGGTTATTATGATTATCTAGGATAGGGTGGGGGGGGGGATGTCGGGATTCACCCAATTCCCCAAATTTTGTAACCCCCCCCCCCCCCCTGATAAGCATGTAGGGTAGGACTAATGATAGTAGATACTAATGACCGACTGCTCTAATAAGGTCACCGGAATTCAATCATTTAAACAAAATTTGGAAATGTAGTCTAAAGGGGGAAAGGAAATGATTGAAATCAACAATTTTATTTCATTTAATTAGATGTGAATTAAGGTTGCAATGTCTTAATTAATTGTACTTAGTCGCATATTTTCTCAACTGATTAGAAGCTAGATCTTATCTTAGACCCAAGATAAGATCTAGCTTTGCAACCAATCTTTATCATTTCCTGTCAGCTCAAAACTAAACTTTTTCATGTTCAGTTTTAATAATTTCATTTTATTTCAGGAGTTCTGAAAAAGAGAAAAAGATGAAATTAGCGGCGCTTCTTCTCTCTCTCGTCCTACCATCTCCAATATTTTCAACTTCAGGTAGAAATTATTTTTAATTAAGTTTTTAAATCGTTTCACCCATTTCAAATATACCGTGAATTGAATCCTTATTATGAATTTCTGACCGAGTTGTTTACCCATTTTCCCTATAAATTGTAATTATTAAAGAATAAAGGAACTTTATTAAATGATAAAAATTTCCAATTTTCTGGAGCCCACTGTAAAGCTTCTGTCCAACTGCTATTGATATTCTAAGACCAAGATGCTGAACATAGCTGGAGACATACGAACTATAGTTGGAGACATACGAACTATAGTTGGAGACATACGAACTATAGTTGGAGACATACGAACTCTTTGGCATACACTTACCATATGTCTTTTCAGTTATTTTCAATTTTGATAATTTTGAAAACTCATTGAAAAATCGAAGATTCTTAAAATTGGAATTATTCAAAAAATTGTTTCTTTAAAGATTTTTTATAACGTTTCTCTTAATCTTCTTATTTTAGTGAAAATGCAACAATCTTCTTTTAACATTTATTCGTCAACACAATGTTTCATGCTTTATATATATATGTATACTACAGGGTGTCTAAAAAAACGTGGAATAAAGGTCTACAGACTCGTGCGTAATCGGATTTTCAAGATTGGGACCATTTTTAAAATCTATTTACATTTTCCGATTCAATAAGCCCAATTTCAGGCTTGTAGATCCAGAAATAACAATTTTATAGGCTCCTAAAGTTTCCAACTGAAGCGAAGTAAAAAGTAAAAAAAAATCTGCATTTGAACAATTTTGTATTCAATGTTAGGTTACAGTTTATTACAGTAAAATTGTTATGTTTAGATCTAGAAGCCTAAAATTGGGCTCATTGAATCGGAAATTGTAAATAGATTTTAAAAATAGACCCTTATTCCCCGTTTTTTTTGAGACACCCTATCGATAAACTTTAAAAATATTTTTTCTTTTGTTTTTCATTTGTCTATTTATCTTATAAATCTATTGCTAAATATGATTTATCCAGTTATCTATCTATCAGAATATCTATCTATCAGAATATCTATCTATCAGAATATCTATCTATCAGAATATCTATGTATCTGAATATCTATCTATCTGAAAATCAGAATATCTATCTATCTGAATATCAGAATATCTATCTATCTGAATATNATACTTTTTAAAGGACTGGGTCATAACGCCTTGGCCTCTTTGATTTTACCATACATACTCACTTCAACTTTTTGTAGCCCTAGTCATGTTCTTTTTAGAACTGTAAAACTCTTGTTTTTAAGTAATTCAGGGGAAGAAAGTTCCAAGCCGTAATTTGGCCCGTGTCAGGTTTGGGCCAAATGTGCAGTTATATTTTTTAATTGTTTATTTTAGTCAATTTAAGTCGAGAAAAAAAACTGTCTTCTTACTTTAATTTAGAATAGTTAAAACTACATTTTTATAACAAAAATGTAAACACTAAACTTAAACAAAGTGCCTCCTCAGTTAAAGCCTGTAAGTCTACTGCATGGTCCAGGTCCAGTGGAGATCATTTTTACACCCTGAGTAAAGTTTAAGCTGTGTAAACTACCTTGAGCCGAGATTAAGGGCTTCTATCTCTCCAGTTCAGGGGGTCTCAGAAGAAATGGTCTGGGAGGTTTAAAAATAAAGTTTTATTAAAAATTGTGTTTCCTTCCGAACGCGGTCCAGTTAATCTTTTTTCTTTCTCTTTCAAATTCATTTTGTAGTTTCATAGAGAAAATGTCAAAAAAAAAATTTAATTCTATTTATTTTAAGAATTTGTTCTGGGTCACTCTTTCCTAGTATGTAGAGGATGGTTTATAGATTCCAGGAAGGGTCTGAATACTTTTACTCTTTCCACCTGCCATAGTTTTACAGGGATAAAGGGCGATATACAAACTATAGTTGAAGGCATACAAACTATAATTGAAGACATAAAAACTAAAGTTGGAGACATACAAACTATAGTTGAAGACATACTAACTATAGTTGAAAACATACATACTATAGTCATACAAACTATAGTTGGAAACATATAAACTATAGTTGGAAACATGCAAACTATAGTTGGATACATACAAACTTAGTCATACAAACTATAGTTGGAGACATTCAAACTATAGTTGGAGACATACGAACTATAGTTGGAGACATACGAACTATATTCGGAGACAAACGAACTATATTTGGAGACATACAAGCTATAGTTGGAGACATACGAACTATAGTTGGAGACATATAAACTATAGTTGGAGACATACGAACTATATTTGGAGACATACAAACTATAGTTGGAGACATACGAACTATAGTTGGAAACATACAAACTATAGTCTTTGTTCAAATTCCACTCCGGCCCTGTAACTTTTATCTTTATATTAATGCCTCCCTATCTGTATTTTACCTATCATGGTTCTAAAAACTTTCTACTCGTCTATTTACGTAAATTTCTAAGTCGTAAATAAATCAAACTTAAACTGCTAAAAGATTACATTTTGCGTAACTAAAGCTTATATTGTTTAGACGATCTGGATGCGTATGAAACTGCGTACGCCTGTGAGGAGAGTATCTTGAACATCACCTGCTCCTCCGGCCTCAACCTCAACATCATCAGGGCAAACTTCGGCAGGTTCAGCATAGCTATCTGTAATCCACACGGAGTAACAGACTACTCAGTCAACTGTATGTCCCCCCGGACCCTCAGAGTAATTAGGTCCCGCTGTCAAGGGGTCCATGGATGCCAAGTCCCAGTGGATAGTCGGATATTTGGAGATCCGTGTCCCAGTACAAGGAAATATGTGGAAGTACACTATTCATGTACCACAGGTGAATAAACATTAACTGTACATGAACACTCAAGTACAAGACAAAAAATACACAATGAACTTTTTATTGAACCTTCGCTTTCAAAGCTCGAGCTTGCATCCATTTACCACACCGTTAAAAATATCGTCGTTAATTTTATTTACGTACAGACCTATCACTATATTTAAGTACAAACGTGTAATTTACTATTTATAAGCCAGGAGACATCTCATTACATCTAATTACATTTTCTCACAATGGTAGCACACAAAAAACACCTAAAGTAAATCTTCTTACAGTGTTCATTAGCTTACTTATATGATTTGTAACGAGAAATCTGCTTTTTGTCTGCCCGTCCTTTTGTCTGTCAGTCTACCAGTCTGTCTGTTGAGTGGAATGTAAAGAAACAAAAAAAGATCTATTTAAGAACACCTAACTCAAAACATAATTTACTCTTTGTAAAGAAAATGTATCGGTATACACTCTACACATTTCTTTTCATTGACTGTACATTACAATCTAAGTGAACCCACAACAAAATGTATTTTACAACTGCACCCTTCTTCTTATTTTTCTTTAAATTCAGTAACTTTTATAATTTTTAATTTATGATTGTTCATAATTTTAAGAAACCTGTGGAATATATATCAAATATATTGGAATATATTTATATTAAAAAACTATACATTCGTATATATGTTGGGTATAGCCGGCCAAACGGCTGGACCGATTGGGCTGAAATTTTTTGTAGACACTCATGGGTGGCCGGGGGGTGTTAAAGGCTAAAAAATTTAAATATTTTTTCTAACATTTTTTTTCAAAAATTTTTTCTTAAAATTTTTATTCCAAGGGCAACGCCGGGCCCTTCAGCTAGTATCAAATATATTGGAATATCAAATAAACATAAAAATTCAATATTTTGATACGTTACGCACATTTTTTTACAGGGACACAATTGCAATCCCTGTATCGTATATGTAACCAGATAAATTTACTCTTCTCATACATGCACAAAATTAAAAATAGAGGAGCTGCGAGGTCACAAATTTGTACCAGTAATATAGGATAAATTTGACCTTCTTCTGTTTAGTTGACTGTATTTTCAAATTTGTTAACAATCCCTTGATTTTATTTTTTATCCAACCAAACTTTGCTCCGGGAGGTTTATTCATCAAAAGAAGGGCGGAAAGTAGGTGGGGGGGGGGGATGATGACTTTCAAATATTTAAATCTATTCAATATTATTAACAGAAGAGGGGGGGGGGGTTATTAATGGATTTAGGAAGAGAGAAATGAAAGGGATGAAAGTGAGAAATAAAAACAAGAAAAAGCTGGCATAGTTATAATAAAATGAGGGGGAAATGGGTGGGGGGAATTAAACTTTATTTAAAGAAAAAAAACAATAAAAATAAAACCATGTTTAAAATTGTAATGAATTTTATTTTAGATTTTCGCTTTCTCACTGAGTAAAAATTTCTTATAACTTTTCCAAATAAAAATTAAAATCTTGAAATTTTATTTTAAGATTGTGGCTCTGTAGTGAATGAATATTTATTTAGCCTAAACTAACAAATCAACTGGGTTAAACTGACATTATTCATTCTCTACAGATTACACAGATAGATCTCAGAGGTTTTAGGACGGAAACTTTTGAACAACTTCGGAAATCATTAATCCGACCAATAAAAAGTATAGTGCTCGTTCACTAATGAAGTACTTAATCGCTTCAAATTAAAAGTATCCGATGTATAGCTCAGCCACAGTAAAAATCTGTTTATTACTACTTTTGATGAGTTGGACTCGTACTCAACGCTACGAGGTTATTATGAGTAAAAGTTACAAACAAGAAACTGAATTGTATGTTCAGCTATCTGAACTGACTCTTACAAAGTTGGTCAATATTTGTACATGAAAATAGTTGAAAACTATTCTATGTACAGCAGTACAATATTTGTACATGAACATAGTTGAAAATTATTCTATGTACAGCAGTAGGATAAACTTAAAATTTACAAAAGTATAGAATACAAATAACGTATTCTATCCAGGAATGCAGCTTCCTTAGATTTGACTTGCACATTGCACAGGGGGGCCCAGAAAAAAGCAATATCAATAAAAGTTGTTGTAGCAATAGAGTTTATATGAACTCAAAAATGACTAAAACTTTATTAAATGATAAAAATTTCCAATTTTCTGGAGCCCACTGTAAAGCTTCTGTCCAACTGCTATTGATATTCTAAGACCAAGATGCTGAACAAATCCTTTCATCCTTTCATCCTTTCATCCTTTCATTCTTTTATCTCTCCTTTCTATCTGTTTGTTCCTTGTGTCGTTATTTTGATGTAAAATAATTTATCCTTCAATTACTGTTAAAACAACTGAAGAAATCTGCAAAACGGTGAATTTAAGATTAGCAATATAGCGAATGTAAAAATTGCAAATTTGCCAATTTAAAACCTGAAAACACATGTAGTTAAAATAGACCGAGAGTTTGGAGTAAAATCGTTTGAGGATTTAGTTCAGAAAATAAAAATCTTTTCAACTTTTTTTTGATAAAAGTTTACTCGATACAAAATACAAATAAACTTCTAATACATTATCTCTTCGTATATATCTATATATCTATACTCCCAGTTTACAACCCCGTGCACGCATACATTTAACTACGCACATAATCAGAATTACGGCTGAATCGAGCTCTAGCAGAATGCAAGGATTGCAAACCATACAAACTTACCAAACAAACATACAAACAACAACATACATACATACAAACACCCAAACTAACCAAACAAACATACAAACTAACCATACAACAACCACATACAAACTAACCATACAACCACATACAACAACCACATACAAACTAACCATACAACAACCACATACAAACTAACCATACAACAACCACATACAAACTAACCATACAACAACCACATACAAACTAACCATACAACCACATACAAACTAACCATACAACAACCACATAACAAACTAATAACAACAAACAAAAACTTACAATTAATTTTAACCAAACATATTCTTTAAGAATTTATAATATTGTTTATAGATATTTTTTGAGTGGGTTCCAAAATAAACAAATGCATCTAAAAATAGATAAATTTGGCTTTTTCAACTCTCTCTAAAAATATGATTTTTAATTCATATTTATTTAGAAATTGTGAAATCAACCACAGCTCGACCCCGGCCCCCCTGGTATCCTGAACCGCCTCCAAACTCCTGGGCAGATATTGCCCCGCCCACCTCGGTTTCTCCAACCTCCGTTGACCCTGTGACCACGCCCCTAGACGAGGACGAGGATATTGAGGACGAACATGATTACACCGAGAGTACAGAGCGTGTGATCAAGGTTAAGGTTCCGAAACCATTTCCGATCCAACCCGGAGACATTAATCCGTCCCAACCTCGTCTCCCAGTTATACAAACCCAGAGAAAACCTCAGAATCATCCACTGGAAGATCTTGTCTCCGATCTCAAAGATAAACACAAGGAAGATATTCTCAATCCGGTTATATCAATGTTGAACTTCACCTACTACTGCCCGCCGATCACCGCCAGGGGTCTTTTCTGGAACTGGACGGCGGGCGGAGATACCGCTGTTCTGGAGTGCCCCGGTGGATCTATTGGGTTCGCCAAGTGGAAGTGTGGGCGGAGTCCTGCTGAGTGGAGTGCTCTGTCCCCTAGTCTGGCGGAATGTGAATCCAAATGGTTGAATAATCTAGATGCAAGGTTAAGAGACGGAGAATCTATCAGTACAGTATCAGGCGACCTTGCCCAGCTATCCGGCCTACAGCCTATGTATGGCGGAGATCTCAGGCTGGCGAGTAAAATGTTAAAACATATGGCGGAGAGAATGAATTATGATATCCAGGTATTATTATTATTAATAAAAGAGAGAGTCCATGGTAACTGAACTGGTTCAGAACGTGGTCCTTACCGGAAGTAATATTTTGGACCGGATAAACCACGTGTCCTGGTCGGACCTTAGCACCGACGATGTTGCTACAGCGGCGACTGCTTTGATGGTTGGTCTGGAGGAAAATGCTTTCCTTCTCGCCAACTCAGTTTCCACAGAGAAGATTATTATCAAACCAACAACTAATATACGTAAGTTTTTCAAATTAAAAATTTAAATTTGAATTTAAAATGTTTGTAAACTTAATTGGCATTAAAAATTTTGTGTGGTTGAACTAGATATCCATGTTTACAATGTTAAAATAGATTGTCTTCAATGGTGTTGTCTCTACAAAAGTGACTTAAGCATGTAGGCATTATCAGAATCAAACAATTTTCAAGCTAGAATACATTACTTTATTGATCAGATGAAGGTTTTAAGGATACCGCTGTGAATTCCAAATTAATAAATGAATAAACATATTTTCTATATTTATTTTTAACAAGTTTGATTTTTGGTAAAATTTAGATTTTCTTTTTTTTAGTTCTGTCTATCCGCGTGATGCAGGCAAGGAACACCGTCTCCCAGAGGTTCCCTACTGTGGAGAACCTTGAGATGTGGGACTCACAGCAGGATTCCATCCTCCTTTCCTCCAGGGCCCTCAGGGAGAACAGCGAGAACGGAGCGGTTAGGATTATCTTCGCCACTTACAACGAGTTCGATGAGCTTCTAGTTCCAACCCAGAGACCCAACTCCACGCTTAGATTTGTTAACTCCAAGGTTATCTCCGCAGCTCTGGGTAAAGGGAAGCATACACGGCTCCAGGATCCTGTAAAGATCACACTTAAACATCTGAGAACGGAGAACGTGAGTAACCCTGTCTGTGTGTTCTGGAACTTCACGACCAGGTTATGGTCAAACTCCGGGTGCAGGATGATAAATACCAACATCACTCATACTCTGTGTGAATGTGATCATTTGACCAACTTTGCTCTGATTATGGATGAAGGTCCTGGAGACGTCTCTGTAACTCTAACCACTGTCACCAATCATATCACAACTATTATTGCCTGTGTAGCAACTTTAGTTTGTGTAACAATACTGGTGTTTGCTACTATTATAACCTGGAGAAAGTTCCGTGTATCCCACCAGTGCAGATCAATGCTACAGAAGTCAGGTATCCCATGTTTCCACAAGACCAAGGAGCTCTCTGAGAAGGATAAAAAGCAGGGAAACTTCTACACAGTGACCCCTAAGCTGAACGGGTCTATCAACAATGAGTCTGGAAGGAATGAGAACAATATTGAACTTGACACAGAGCAGCAATATTTCCAGCATATGATCTCAATGCAGAAGAACCAGGATACATTGGGACTGAACAAAACAATGAGAAGAAACACAACTAATGCTATTACTAACGCGGACCAGGAGACTAGTCTCACAGAGGTTGATCTGAAGAAATCCACCAATATTCCTGATCATAATCTAAACCAAGCTACGCTAAATGCGCGAAAAACATTACGACTTAAATCTCAGTGCCAACATACTACAGGAGGATTTCCCATGGGGAAAATTCATCCTGAGCAGGGATTTCCAAAGAGGAATAATATTCCCCGTGCCATGAGCCCTTTTAATCACATTTATATGGAAATTGATCCAAAAACAGATGAAGCCACCCTTTATGAAGCCTTGAATCAGAGTGAACGAAGTGAGACATATATGTTGTCATCTGTCTCTGATATGTCGGACGAAGACTTCCGTCGCTGTAGTGAAATGAGTCGACAATCCTCCAGTCGTTATGCAGAAAATAAACCATTAATTCGACAAGGATTCGAAAGAAATCTTTTAACAACTATCTCTGGAGTAATGCAGCAGGGGGGGCAGAGTGTCCGAGCCCCCACTCAGCACCATCGAACCTCAATCCTAAGCACCATTAGTGGTTTACGCTACACGGATCCAACCCAACCTGGACAACCCTCTCTGAACCTTGCTACTGGAGAACCTATCATGAGCTATCCAGCAGAATCCTTCCAGGGTTTAAACCTAACCGGAGAAAACATACAAACCTTTACCCTGACCGAAGATCAGATTCGATCCCTAAACCTGGTTGGAGAGCCTATACCCGGCCTAACCCTGAGCCGGGACGGATTACTCGGGTTGGGTTCAGGAGGGGGAGAGCTCCAGGCTATGCCTGAGGCTGCACCGTTACAAGTGACCACTGTGAATGGAAACCAATTTGTGTGTCTTAATCTGCAGGACGACCCGGGAACAAATACATCAACATATGTAACCGCGTCGGAGCTAAATAATTGTTATGCATCCTTCTCCGATACCTATATCCAGGGAACCGAACTCCGGGGTGTCAACACTGCTAATTTTGTCAACCCAACCTCAGAACATTGTCAACCTGGGATGATACAAACCCCTGTACATTCTCAGCTCGTGATACAGCGCGTAGGAACCCTCCCTAGACAATACGCGCACCCTTTGGCGCAGATGTGATAATCTCCGGGGAACCGAGTTTAATTTGATTTATGCGCGTAATAAACGTAATTCTAGTGATTCTTTGTACCCGGAGAACCTGGGAGTACTGGGACCCGTCCTGTCATATCTCAGCTCTCAACACTCTGATCTCATTCTCTATCCCACCACCCCGCCCGCCATGAACTGTCATGAGCTGGGACGAAACTCTTGGAAAAATCACGATTTTTACACTTTAGAGGAAATCATCTTCTTTTTAGGCAATGTCTGATGTTTTCCAGATATGATTGTTTAACCCCCCCCTGGATGCTTACACAGTTGTAGGGGGGGGGGGAAGTATCACATTTTTTCACGCCTCCCCGTAAAGGGAATCTGGCCAAAAACCTAGTCAAATTATTTGTTAAATTTGTTTTGTAGTATGTGTGTGTGTTCACCATATTATACAATGTTGTCGAAATAAATCTTTGTTCAAAAATTCAATTTGTATTCACAGCAGTAGGTTTAAACTCTAGATACAGTACATAACTGCAAAGTGAATAAATACTAAAGTGGACCAAACTCATAGGTGGATGACGACATTTTATGTCCCAAGTATTTAGAAATATGTATATATATATATATAAATTGGTCTGTATACGGAGTGTACAGTACAACAGAAACTGGACTCCCTTTGTTTACAAACACAGACTTAGAATTTGTATTTAACTTAAAATTTTATTAAAATTGTTTTAATAAAT